TGAGTATTTAATTGAATATTTGACAGGTAAATTAAATTGGTGCTTGGATTAAGGAACAATAAATTCTATCAATTGGAAAATGGCATTGAATACTATCAGTAGCAAATGCATAGAAATGAGTAGCCATTAATATTAGATCTTTATTTATGGCGGTCAATCACATTATCTTTTTTCTTTTATATACAGATATTTGCTTTTTCCCAACGTTGGTGAAGTTGGGCAAAAATGCAATTTTAGTTTTTTGTCTTTTAGTACTATGAGTTAATACTTTGCTCCAATTTCATTTCCAGAGTACTGAAATTGCTAAAAAAAATAAATTATGGGGTTAAAATTGTAACGAAGTTTTAAATTACAGAACTGAAACTGCTAATTGAATATCGGGAAATTTGTTGCAATTTTAGTCTTCAAACGACTGAAATTGCAGTAAAATATTAAATGACATAACCAAAGAGCGAAATATTGGAACTTTGAGACTAAAATTGCTATAGCGTTAAACCATCAAAACTAAAAATGTCATTTTTCCCTGAAGTTGTATCTTGCCAGTTCAAAAAAATTTGACGACCCGAAACCCGAGTTGACCTGTAGAAATCATATAAAAAATCCTATTTTCAAGTTGCGCTCACGGGCAATTCGTTTCATTTAACTGCATTACGCATGATTAACCAGAGAAACGACCGGCCATCAATAAAATAAGAAAGTGAAAAAGAAAAAAAATGTATATATTAATATTTAAAAAAAAAATAAAAAATCTTGGATATATATTGTAGTAATAACCATGTGACTAATAGTCCAAAAATACCAAAAGTAGAAAAGCAAAATGAAATAAATTGGGAAGGACACACTCCTTTTGCCACTCCACAAACACCATTAATTGTCACATGGGATATAATAATTGTAAGTACAATGCACAATTCAAAGGGGTCACAAAATTTCAAATGTCCCCATCACAGACCAAACTGTTGTGTCCCAATACCAATTTGCCACAAACAGTTTGTATGAATGTGTTTTGTATATTAGACATAGCACTACACAACAATAGAGTTGGGTTCTTGTATTTGGACATCTAACTGATGCATTTTGTTTATTTATTTAGCTTGTTTTTCAAGGACTGATGATTGAAATAAAATGATACTTTTATTTATATTATTTTATAAAATTATACATATATCATTTTCTAGAAATAAAATGTTATTTTCATATGCTGATGCATAATTCCACCATTTTTCATACGTGCACTGCCTATATACAAGTCTTTGCCAACTTGGACGAAAACCTTGGAAAACAATAATAAAATGAAACAAAAAGGACTAAAATTTTAAAAGGTGAAAATTGAAATTATATTATTGCTCACAGCATGTTAAACTGCAACTTAATGACTCTTGTCCTCGTCATATACGTGGACTATAAACAATGTAGGCAAAAATATGTAAAATTATTTTTATTATCCCTTTTCGTATAGATGGATACTATTACCAATTATGGCAATTAAATTAACGTATGTCACCGCATATGGTGTTAGGACTATTGTGCTAAAGTTGGAACTTGTTAAGATTTTTGGATTATTATGCCATGAGCTCGTTTTGATTCATCTTGTCTTGTTACGCTTCGAGGTTGGTTCAATTTGTTTAACTTGAGCTTAATTCAAGCTCGAGAATGTAGAAGTTTTTGCTCAATTTTTGAAATATTCACTTTAGCTTGGCTGATTATAGTTCAGATTGCAATTGTTAATTTTGATAAACAAATCCAAATCGAACTCATAATTTATCTCCTTGACTTGTCAGAAGCTCGAGTAATAAGAGCGAGAGCTCAAACTCGACTTGATTCGACTACACCCACAACACTACTGCTACTACTAAGTAACCATTATTGCAATTGATTCTAACATACAAATTTTCTCGCGCGATCAAATCATGACTCGTAATGTGCTCCACATACATTATGAAAGACTTCATGCCAAAATGACATTTTGCCCCCTCAAGATTCCATTTCCACCCCCACACACTTTCTAGGTCAATTAACAATCCCGCAACATACGAAACATGATTTTGAAACAAAAAATCTTTGGTTTTTTTTTCGAAAATTACGAAATGTATTGCATGAACTCGGAATCGTTCTCTAATCCGGCCATAGTCTCCGGCGCTAGCACCACCTCGAGATCCACACTCCCGTTCCCCTCCCGACCAGGAAATGCCGATATCTTCCCGTCGAACTTATTCGCCCGACCGCTCCTCACGGCCATCGGCCTCCCCCACCCAAAATCATTGTCGTACATCGGAAACCTCGGAGAACTCCCCATCGTAATCATGGCCCCGTCGAAATTTCCCAGCGGGAAAAGTCTCGGGTTTTCTTCCCACTCCTTAATCCCGGCTCGAACGGTTGAGTCGTCGTGCGCCAACACGTTTCGGTGGAGCCGCCCGGCAACCCAACCGAGCCCGTTGGAGAGGAGTTCCCCGACTGCTGCAGCAGTCGGGATGCTCTGGATTGCGTTCCCGAAATAGAGAGGGTCGAGCCGCGGCTCGAGCCGGTGGCGGCAGTTGACGGCCATCCGGAAAGTGGTCGTTTTTTCGGCGGGTAGGTTTCGGGCGCGAGTCACTGACCGCCAGAGCTGGGCGGACAGGGACTGGAAAGATGAGATCTCGACCGTGGGATCTGATTTGACTACGGGTCTTGTTATCTTTATGTCGTTCCTTTGTTTACCGAAGATCTCGGGCTGAAGACCAGGGCTGTTGGCCTTGGCCTTGAGCTGGAGGATGGAGTCGCGAGAGAAGTGGAAGATTTTTTCACGAAGGGGCTCGTCGCCGGAGAAGGTGGCCGAGGGGCCGCCTTCCGGTAGGGGGAGGACCGCCGGAGAGTCGAAGACGGTGTCTCGCTTGAAAGACGGCGGCGGCGGCCGGGGGATCTGCGTGGTGGAGGCGGCGGCGGTGATGGAGGCGAAGGTGTTGAAGAAGTTCCAGAAGGAGGTGCCGTCGACGACGGCGTGGTTGGCGGCGCAGCCGACGAAGAGGGCACCGGAGAGCTCGGTGACCTGGACGGCGAGGAGGGGGCGGCTGTGGCCGGCGTGNAGAGGGTGCGGGAGAGGGAGAGCTTGAGGAGGGGGATGAGGTCGGCGGAGGGGAGGGGCGGCGCGGGGAGGAGGACGCCCTTCTGGATGTACTGGCAGGAGAGCATCGGGAGATCGGATACGGAGAGGCGCAGGGAGGATAGGGTGGACCGCTGGTCCGGGTATATGGTGCATTTCGAGATGATTATTACTGAAGAAGACAGCATCGTTTTCGTATTTTAGTATTTTTTTTTTATATGTTTAAATTTTTGGGTTTAAAGCGTGTGGGTATTGGGAGTGTGATTGGGGGCTTTATATATAGAGTTGTGGGACTATGGGGAGAGAAAAAGACCGGTTCATGCACTTAGGTAGTTGACCCGGTAGTTAGTGTTTTGTCTTTTTCATCATTAATTGTTTAATCATTAAGCGAGTTGATTTGTGATATTTTTTTAACAAAAATACATAACTATAATCATGTTATGATATGTCATACTTTTTAGTTATGGTACAACATAAAACATCCTTTCCCTCCCTCGCATGGAAATATCGAAAAAGAAAAAACAGTAGATTTGCAAATTGTAGTCTCCTCGCCTCAGAAAGTCGTTTGGAAAAAAAGCTAGATCTGGTTCGCAAGACTCATAGCTTCATATATAGTTAATAGTTGTTCGAAGTGTTCTAGTGTCCAGATTTGTGTTTCCTATTTTCGTGGTTCAGTTTCTCATCGAGTGGTCAACTTGGGTGTCGGTTCCTATTAGTGATAGTGAGGTCAAGCAGGATAGAAATTGGGTAAGATGTTGGTCTATTTAGTAAAATTTTTTTCGTATATATTTTTGTTATATTTTGTTTTGTGTGCCTAGACCTTTTGTTTGTTATGTGATTTATTGTTTTAATGTTGTGTTGTAGTTAAGGTTACTATAACAACAAATTTTATGAGAAACATGAAATTTTTGTACAACTTGAATATAAATTGATCAAACGATATGCGGGTAGAATCTCTATATGGAACCCTCTGATTCTTCTTTTCTTGGATCTTTAACTTGAATGTCGTGAATTTTCAAGAACACCTTTGGATCTTCAAAAATACCTCTTTGAATTGAGATTTTGATTTATGAGGTGTCGATTTTTTGAGGTGCTTTTGATTTTTTGATGTGTCCTTGATTTGTTTGAGGTGTCTTTGGTTTTTAAGGTGTTTTTGATTTTTTTGAGGTGCCTTTGATTTTTGAGGTGTGGTTTGTGGCTTCGAGGAGAGCCCTATTTATAGGTGTAAAACAGAGACTCTTAGAGAAGAAGACATCATTTGATTGGTTCTTCTGGATTTGATATAACCTCTTTATAACTTTATTAATTAAATATCTTATTTATCTTAGATTTATGTCCCTAAATAAATAAAGAACCTAATTAATAAAATATTAAAATTTCGATATTTATAGTTACCACGATTAATCTTCAATGATTTTGTTTGTTCTGTCTAGTGCGAAGATCATAATATTATGTTATGATATGTCATACATTTAATTTATGGTGCAACATAAAACATCCTCTCCTTCCCTCTCATGGAAATATGGGAAAAGAAATAATAATAGATTTGCAAATTATAATCTCCCCGCCTCAGAAAGTCGTTTGAGAAGAAAGCTAGGTCTGGTTCGCAAGACTACTCATAGCTTTATATATAGTCAATAGTTGTTTTAAGTGTTCTAGTGTAGATGGAAGAGTCAATGCTACATGTGGGGGCAGTTTGCAAATTGTAATCGCCCCGCGTCAGAAAGTCGTTTGGGAAGAAAGCTAGGTCTGATTCGCAAGACTACTCATAGCTTTATATATAGTCAATAGTTGTTCGAAGTGTTCTAGTGTAGATGGAAGAGTCGATGCTACATGTGGGGGGCACTGCCCCCACATGTTTTTGTATCATTGATATGCACACACTTATACACCCACCCACATGGTTGTGTGAAATCAATGGTAAAAAAGTATGTGGGGGCAGTGCCCTTACATGTAGCATGAAATTTTCCTAGGTGGAGATTTGTGTTTCCTATTTTCATGGTTCAGTTTCTCATCGAGCGCTCACCTTGGGTTGTCGGTTCCTATTAGTGGTAGTGAGGTCAAGCAGGATGGAAGTTGGGTAAGATGTTAGTCTATTTAGTAATTTTTTTTTTCGTATATATGTTTGTTATATGTTGTTTTGTGTGCCTAGGCCTTTTGTTTGTTTTGTGATTTATTGTTTTTGTGTTGTGATGTAGTTAAGGTTACTATAACAACAAATTTTATGAGAAACGTAAAACTTTTGTACAACTTGAATATATATTGATCAAACGATATGTGGGTATAATCTCTATGTGGAACAATCTAATTCTTCTCTTCTTGGATCTTTAACTTGAATGTCGTGGATCTTCAAGAATAGTTTTGGATCTTCAAGAACGCCTCTTTGAATTGAGACTTTGATTTATGAGGTGTCAGTTTTTTGAGGTGTCTTTGATTTTTGAGGTGTGATTTGTGGCTTCGAGGAGAACCCTATTTATAGGTGTAGGAGAGAGACTCTTAGAGAAGAAGATATCGTTTGATTAGTTCTTCTTGATTTGGTAAAAAAATCTCTTTCCTTTTTTTGAAGATTTGATTTGGTGGGCAAAAAATAATAATTTTATTAATTAAATATTTTATTTATCTTGGATTTATGTCCCAAAATAAATAAAGACACTAATTAATAAAATATTAAAATTTCGATGTTTATATTTACCACGGTACCAATTGGTGATGGGAGGAGTAGCCCACTAGACTTATAAACTAGGCTCATTAACCCTGTAGAATCAATGTGGAACAACTCACAACTGATATTCTAACATGCTCTCTCACTTGTGAGTCCTTCATAAGCCCAAGCCCAAATAGCAGACCAGGTAGAGAGATAAGCCCAAGCCCAGAGCAACTTGGGTAGAGAGAGTCATCGCAGGTCCTAGGACAGACCCGCTCTGATACCATATTATATTTATAAAATCTGGGAAAGATGGTGCAGTCCCACAAGATGAAGCGCATCATAAGAGGGTGAACTTAGTTGCACCTTAGTGAAGTTTCATTCCAAAATCAATTGATGATTAATCTTCAATGATTTTGTTCGTTCTGTCTAGTGCGGAGATCATAAGTTTATTCATGGTGTTATTCCGTTTTAGGCGAATGTTTGTTTAGTCTTTTACTTAAATGCTTAGTTTAGATATTGCCTTTGTTAGGCCTTGTAGGGATTGCCTCTTCCTTTTGGCATTTTCATTTTATATTTGGGCTAAACATTATTGTTTAGCCTAATTGCATTGACCTCAATCGACGTCATGCTTTCTATTTCTTTTCATTTATAATATGTATGTATGTTACTCTTAACATATTTTAGTTGGTGCTTTTTTGGTGTTCACTGTATCTTAACACCATGTTAAATATATATATATATATATATATATATATATACTGTTTTAAATACTTTTGAGTGTAATAATAATTTATTATTATTATTTTTATTTATTGCCCTTTTCTTTTATAAGTCAACCTCCTTTTATTCGAAGACCAATATTTTTACCTACTCTAATATGCTGCCTACTGCCTATTGGTAGGCAGGGCCGTCTCAACAATTTCGAGGGTCCTTGGGCAAGCAAGACACAAAGGGCCCGACAACTTAATTAAAATTTAAATATAACAATTGAGTATATAGTACTGTTTATAAGAGATAACTTGCAATGTATATTTAGCCAATAAAAAAAGCAGTACATTTAAGAAGGTAAAACAATAGTAAAAGACACCCTTATCTCAATATATAGGGTGTCTTTTTTTTTTTTTTTTGGTACAAATATATATATATATATATATAGGGTGGCTTTAACTATACATGTAAATATATTCATGGGCCCCCAACCGGTTAGGGCCCTTGGGCCAAGCACCAGCTGCCCCCCTTTCAGACGGGCCTGTTGGTAGGGCTCCTATCTTTTTCCTCCTCTAATCAATCATGCATGAAGAAAAACTATAGATTATGCTTGAAAATTAAGCTTCAAAAGTGATTTACTCACATGCATTTAGTTTTCAAATTATTGTGTGTTGCCATCTAGTCCATTAATTCATTTGGTTATCATTTTATACGTTAATTTTACTAATAATTGATTTAAGGTAACTCAATCGACCATGTCTCTTCGAGATCTCCACGAAAATCATTTTCTTCTTCAAACGAATCTTTATCTGAAGAAAACAAAGATAATAATCCATGAATATAACAAGTCTTTAAGATTTTGTTTAAACATTAACAAATAATTGATATAATTTTTTTTTTTTTATTTCATTACATATCACTCTTTTTGTCTTAAACGACCAAGTGTGTATACAGAAAACAAATCCCAACACGATAGGCAATTGCAAAATCGAATTGAGAGTTACACTCAAGATGAAAAATCTAGTCCAAAAGTGTAGATCAGTTGATTGACACCAATAAATATCAAACTAAACTATATTGATCACTAAATAATAATAAAAAAAAAAAGGTTTACAATGTATTTGGTCCATATAGAGATATCTTTTTAAAATCTTTTGTTAGAAATTACAAAACCTCCTAAAAGTAGGAAATATTTTTCTTACGTCCACTGATAGTTGCTGGGCTCCTGCTTGGGCCCAACTCCAGTCAACAGTGGGCTTAGGACATTTGTCAAAATCTTATTGGCTAGAATTTCCTTATTGATTATCCAATTTAACTTGCACTGAATCTATACAATAATTATCTGGCACTAATAAATTAAATACTTATTTTTCGTGTGCTCGATTTTGTAAATAAATAAAAGTGGCGACTATATATGGTCCTCGTTCATGCACCTTAATCGATTACGACTTTTAAATCGTGTGTTGGTGGGGTTGCGCAACTATGTATGAGCCTCTGTCGCGTGGTCCCAACTCCCAGGTGTGGAATCTTAACCCCACGATCCATTTTTCGTGGAGATGGCTCGATACATATAATATCAAATTTAAAATAAAAAAATGTTACATTAGTAAGAGTGCGATTTGATATAAATTATTTTTCAAAAAAAAAAAATGTTTTAAATGAAAAATGTGAGTTAGAGATAGAGTAGGAATAATTATTTTGGTGGAAGAATAAAATATTTTTGGAATGTGAATCAATATGACATAAATGTAAAGAATTGAGTTTAAATGATGAGAAAAAAATAAAATAATAATTAAAATTATGTGATTTGATGAGTAGTGAAGTTTGAGGAAAAAAATGAATAGTACAA